CTGACCAGCTTAGACAAGCTATGACCAGCTAAAACCAGGATAGATAAGCTTTGACCAGTTTAGACAAGCTAAGAACCGTGAGTAAACACTCGGGTCCCCACGTTATAAACCGATTTTGTGTCACAACCTGAATCAGTGGGGGTTCACGTAAATCTCGGACTTAATTCAGAGAGATGAGCTTTTAACATTAATCAGCAGCAGCTGACAAATTCCCTTTCTTACAAAGTGGTCAACCCACGAAAGAAAAGTGGACAATAAAGTCAACACCCAGAAGCGACAGCCTGTTTCCTGTTAAACGCAATCGTCAGGTAGATGACCTGACAATTGAGTTTAACATGATATAGGCTGTCACCTTTGGATGTTGACTTCAATTTTAATGTGTATATTTTTACATACGCTCTATCTCTGATACTTAGCACTATAACCCTTAAACATAGCATATCTTTAACACTATATATATATATATATATATATATATATATATATATATATATATCGTCATCCAAAGACAGACTATTTCGAGCTGAGACTAATACCCGAATTTGATGTTTTAAACCGGGTTCTCTCTATCGTTGAATAGTTCGCAACGGCTGAACTGGTCTGCGGCGTGAAGAACATTGCTAGCATTCTGCCCCTTCGATAGAGGGGAAGCGCGTTGGCTGTATTACAGAAACTCTGCAAGGCAAAAAGAAAAATGTAGGCTGTATCAGGGACGCCCTGTAAGTTTCCTTTGCCACAGATCTATTCGTATCATACACCCCGACACTTGAATTCGAACAAAGCTGTGAATGTCTATTTGGTAGATCTCTACAGACTGTCAACCTTGTACGGTGTGGTGCCTGACAGTGGGTTCGCCTATTCGGACTAGATGTCTAGTGGAGGAGCGTAAAACTGCGCGTGGACACATGGAAGTGCAGTCTCAGAGGTGCCTGATGTTATAACTCGACGGAATGTCTTCTCACTGTACGGAAAGCTGATGGAACCTCTTTCCGTGTGTGAATGCGTCTGACGACCGGGTCTATCAATCTGTGGAGGAACACAGTCACAAAGAGATAGGATGGCCAAGTTGGCGACATCCTCCTCAAGCATATGGTGAAGGAAACTGTGGGCAGAAGATCCTGACTGGGGTGACCGGTATGTGAACAGATTTTAAATCAACGTATGGTCGATATAAGCTCTCTAGCGACAGGGGTACCGCGGGAAAAAGATGGATCAACGTTGAAAGATGTATGCTGGATTCGGTCAACAAACGACACCTTGGCTGATGCAGTGAAATACCTCGTTGGCCCTCCATTTCTAGTTCAGGTTCAGCATTGTTTTTTTTTGTTTTTTTATCATGAAAACATTTTTTTTTCGTTGGACCGGTCAGATTTATGTTAGTTTATTGGCATCAGTAGTTCTCATTATTTACCATGTGTAGGTAAGCCTCGTCTTACCTACACATGGTAAGACTACTGAGAGCAGTAATATGCATTTTCATCATCTGAAGTTCATTTATTTAGCGAAATAAAGGGTTCAGTTCGACATTCCAACCACCTGAAAAAGCCAGGTAGTACAACGGCCGAAACGTTGTAATAAATATGGCGACAAAGATGAGGACAATAGTCCGAATAATGTGAGAGCAGTAATATGCATTTTCATCATTTGAAGTTCATTTATTTCAGAAAAGGGGAAAAAACGCTGTACTAACAGCAAAAAATATAAGTCAACAGAACAAAATCAATCTACCCACTTCGATTAAATAAACGTTCAGTTCAAAAATCCCTGAAATTAACCCGAATCGACAGAAACCTGAAGAAATCCTTAAGTACAATGGCTACAATGTTGTGATGATAACCAATATAAGCACATTACTCCCAATATAAATAATGTACTGATTTGCAACGAAAGTCCGTAACATTTTTAAATAAGTGGCTTTTAAACACGGGATTTTGTTTCACACGTAACTGAAATTTATGATACAGTAGTAATTTTCCAAACGTAGCTTAGATGTGGCATAAAGACGAAAGCAGGGGTGACCCAGTGAGAATCGAACACACTATTCAGTGTAATTGATCTAGCGAGACAAACTTACTAACAATTACACCGCCTCGAAGTGCCAAAGATTTATGATATATATACATGTTCTGTAAGTGTATGTAAAGCGTTTTATTTTCTGTACGATGGGTGCATGGATCGTGTATTTCCCATGTTTTTATGTTAAAAGTTAAAATTGAGGGCAGTATCTGTCTATATTTCTCAAGAACAAATGGCACAGTGGATAAAGGCGTTAGTTAGATCAAGTGACAGGACCCAAAGTGTGAGTTTAATACCTGGTTAAGGCGGTGGAGAACTTAGCAATTCTACTATAAAAATTTATTTTATATTTCTAAGTGTCATTTTGCTATAAAAAATCTATTGTTGCACATTTTATTATAAAAATGTACTGTTGATTTTTGTTTGGTGGGTATCACTATTTGTCCATAGCTAGGACCCAACAGGTGCTTCCACCCGGGTCAGGATGAACTTGGTAACAACAGTAATTAAGAGATGGTCCCACGTTCATCAAAACCTCCAATCTCCCAATCAGAGATTTGCTGCCGGATGTAGTTTATCGTCATACCCAAGACGATTGTCCAAATGTATAATAGAGCTATTTTTAAAGAACAATCACAAGTGATGAAAACTGAATTATATACAAAATGTGAAATCTTTGGGAAAATGAGGTGAGCCACATTTAACTACTCCAAAGTTATTCTATAACGCAGATGATGCTGAGTATCTAGAGCCATTGGTAAAACATTGCGTATTTGAGCACCTTCTGCAGATTCAGGCGTTGAATTCAGAAAAGCATTGTTGCCAACTGGACCAATTAAAGGCAGAAATTGATGAAAAGCGTCTGGAATTTCTCACTTTGATAAGTGTAGACAATTACCAGGACAACGACGGAAGTTACGCGTTTTGCAGAGCAACACCGGTTCCCATACGATCAGCGAAGTTAAGCCTGGTCGGAATCTAGATGGGTGACTACTTGGGAATACCAAATATTGTAAGCTTGGATATCCCGGTGGTGTAATGGCTAACGGTTAAGCCCAATTCTTGTTGGGTTTGTTATTTTCACTTACGCGCAAATCTCATTGGGAAAGGTATGTATCCACTTCTTTTCCCCGGCTATGGGAAAATGAAGTGAGCCACATTGAACCACTTCAAAACTATTCTATGACGCAGATGATGCTGAGTATCTGGAGCCATTGGTAAAACATTGCATATTAGAGCACCTTCTTCAGATTCAGGGGCTGAATTTCGAAAAGCACTATTGCCAACTGGACCAATTAAAGGCAGAAATTGATGAATATTATGCAATAAATATTTAAATAATTTTAGTATGGGATCAATTTATGTATAATACAAATTAAAAAACGGAGATTATGTATTTAACCGTTTTCGTCAGATTTTTTTTTTTTTTAACATTTTTATAGTTATGTATGTTGGATTGGGATATTGAGTAATTCTTTTAGGAATGGAGATATTTGAAAAAAATCCAGGTTCTCGTTAGATTTCCGAAGTTAAGCCAGGTCGGAATCTAGATGGGTAACCGCTTGGAAATACCAAATATTGTAAGTTTGGAGGTTCGGGTGATGTAGTGGGTAACGGTCCAATCGGACGACCGAATCCCCTTTGGGTTCGTTATTTTCACTTTTGCGCAAATCTCATTGGGAAAGGTATGTATCTACCTCTTCTCCCCACCTATGGGTTAATTAGTAATACTTGTATCACTTAACATTTATTATCTCAAAAAAATTTGCAATCTAAAAATATTTTCTGCCTTTAAATAACCTACAAAGAGTTGATAAGCCGTAGAAAACGAATCAATCAGTCAAATTTTAGCAAATCCGGTAGAAATTAGGAGGGCGTAGCTGCAATGTCCTATTACACCCGACGTACACATTTGAACTTACACCGCCGGATTACTACTTATTCCAATTCCTACAAAATTTTCCTAATGAGAAGAACTTAAAGTCTCTGGTAGCCTGAAGAAACCACTTCGACCAAAAAGCTTCTAAATCTAGGAAATACAGTTCTTATAACGCGAGGATATTTGATATCTACACCAACACATCAACATGTGAATGGAAAGCTCAGTTTAGTCTTTACGAGTTTGTCTTTATCTCACTATGTCGAGATCTCCCATCTCTTCCCTATCAGCTAAATTCCTACGTTGCTGAAAACATTGCGATTTCTGTATCTGTAATCATCTCTGTAGAGATTAATATTTTATAGGCGGGTTGTTTTGGTTTCATTAACAAAACAATGGCCATATGCCGAGAGCTGCAGATTCAGTGTCAATGTGACCAAACCTTGCCGCCAGTACACACAACCTCTGTCTCTTAAAAATCAATAATGTCATTTTGCAATAAGGCACACGTTTTCTCCTGTCAACCCAACACCACATAAAAATTCAATTACTTTTTACCGCTCTACCGGCTTCTCGACATCTTAGGAAATAATAGTAATATAATCGCCATTACAAAACTCCACACATTCCTTAATGAAAATTCACTGGAAATAGTTTCGTATTTCTTATTAAAATCAAATTAAATAATTTTACAAAAAGTCATTTAGTTGTATTGAGTGACGAGCAGATGATGGAAGCAATTAAGTCAGTTCACTAATTTCTGTGATGGTCAATCTGCATTTCTTTACAATCCTTCTGAGAAAGATCTGTATTAAAATTTGCTTTTTACTTTTCTTCCCTCCATCAGTCAACAAATTCAGCAATAGTCAAAGTGAATAGTATTTAACTCACTGCTATCTCTTAAGAAAATTATATAAAATTTATAGAGAGTAGAGAAAATAACAGCATCGCAATAATTCGGCTGTACAAAGACTCTGGTGAAATAAAGATTAAAAAAGGAGACAAAGGAATACAGTTTCGTTTAACTTATTTACATTATACAAGGGTATAAGGGTGCACCTCCAAAACTCTAGATATCTGGCAGCTGATCTCTCCCCTGACTGGCTTACGGCCACATCACGTCGAAACGCCGTTTCCCGTACAATCACAAAAGTTAAGCAACGTCGAGCCTGGTCAGTACCTATATGGGTGACCACTTCGGAATATCAGATGCAGTAAGATTGGGTGTGCATGTGGTGCAATGGATAATTGCTAGGAATTGTTAATCGGGGCGCCGAGTTCGAAATCCCGTTGGGTTTGTTAGATTCACTTATGAGCAAATACCCTTGGGAAAGACATGAATCCATATCTTCTCCCTCTGCTATGGGTTAATTAGTAAGACTTTTATTATTAAACCATTATTATCTCAAAAAATAATTCTTACAATCTAAAATATTTCCTGGCTTTAAATAACCTGCAAACGGTTGATAAGCCGTAGAAAACGAATCAATCAAAATCTCCTCTGACGGCCTTTTAACTACTCAGGGGAGGATAAATTGAGTGATTATAGTAACTCGTAATTCAAACTTTCCATCACCAAGCAGACCCTAAATTTTCACCTATCGCGATGAACAGGTATTTTCTCATAGAGGTCCCAAGCCTTCATGCCTATTGAGACAAGCTCAACCAGACCTCAAGTGGAACTCGTTCATACGATTCATCGCTAAAGTTACTGGTAAAAATGATCGGTTCTCCGTACTGCTCCAGTAAGTACCTGACTTTTCCTGCTGTCCTCTACCTTTACAAGATCGAAAATGGTGTACTGCTGCCATATATGGGCAGGAACTGTCACGTCTTTAGGATCCAGTCTCGATAGAGACCAAAAATGTCTCCACGTCCATTGTGGATAATGAATAATTTTCCAATCTCAAACCCTTTTCTCATAGACGAAACGTCGCAAGCCTCTTACTGCTCTATTGTTATTTCCCTTAAAAAAAAATTTAGATGAAATACATTCTTTAATTCCACCAGTTATAATATTCTCTGATAAGACCCACCATACTAATGCACATTGTAGCAAACCACCCTCATTCCCTTCGTATTTCATTGGTGTGATGTAAGTTCCACTCCAGTGGCTTCTTTCCACGAACTGCTACTTTGTGTAACCGACTCACAAGAGGATGTTTCCCCCTTGCTCTGACCAAGTGAATGGTTAAGTAATAAAAAAACGTTTGCAGATATATCGTATATTAAACACTAAGTACAACAGAAGAGTATTACGCGACTAGTGAGAGTGTATCGAACGAACTAGCGCTCAACCCAGTTACTGGTCACTGTTCCTAAACCTTCTCTCCTACTAATCTTATAGTAGGTGGAAGAGTCTAACATAGACTCTTAGAGGGAGGACTCCACAAAAGAACCATAACCTGTTCAAATCTAGCGTTAACCGTTATCTTCCCCACATATACCCATAAACTGAACATCATTTTAAAAATATATACACAAAGATCACCTGTATTTTCTGTAAAATTAACAAGGAAAGTATGAGAACAAACACCAGTCTATGCCATCAGCATGGCTAATGCTAACCTCCAGGAGAGTGACCCCTTGCTACTTCTCGGGCTAAGGTTTTTCACTTACCCTTTAGTACTACTCTTGCTAATATTTTCCGGTGACAGAAATATTATACTGAATAAAATGCTAGATCTACTGCTAAGAAAGTTTGTTCCCTGTGTCGTGCTAAACAAATTTAGATATTTATAAGTCTGCCATTCGTCCTAGCTTTGAATAAAGCAGCCACACATGGTCAGGTGCTCCAGCTATATATTTTGAGATTCTTGATAAAATCCAAAGAAGACTTTGCAATGTTATTGGTTCTGACCTGACATCTCTCCTTCAGCCACTTACCCATCATCGTAACATAGCTTCCCTGTGCCTTTTCTATAAATATATTCATGGTAAGTGTTCTGATGAATTTTCCTCTATGGTAATTGGACATTACGAATTTAAGCAATACTAGATTGGCGGTAAGGCCTCATCTTTTTACAGTTGAAATGGCTAAATGTAACCGTAAGTTCTATGCTGAAAGTTTCTTCTATCATACTTCTCGTTTATGGAAATATCTTTCCGATTCTTGCTTCCTAGTTAGCTTTGATCTTCAAACATTTAAATGCAATGCCAAACTTTATCTACTTATTTCTTGTTCTCTTAATGTTCTCTCTCTTTAAATCTGTTTCTTTTTCATTCACTACCACTTAATAACCCATTGCGTTTTAGTAGCTTTATTGCCTTTGTTGGTGTTAAATGATTTAAAAAAGATATTTCTGAACGAGAAGGGCGTCATGAATGAGATCCGTATGAGCTCAAGAACTAACAAGATCTCCATTCTAGTTAACTTTTTACCGCATACCGTCCAGTTTTGCCTTTGTTTAACCATTCATTAAAGCTCGTTCCCACCACTTCTCTTGACTTCAGTATGTTCTGTGAGTGTTAAATTCTCCAGGCCCTCTTTCCTCTTTATGCGTCTCAGAAATTTAATGTTTCTTTTTTGTTGCAAATAAAAGTTTCCTTGTGGTTCTTATTTTCCTTAAAAAGAACCGCGTTGTACACATGTTCTGTCAATAGTATCCTCAGCATTCATCGGTAAATGCACATCTCTGTTGCTTCAGATATTCCTTAAAATAGCCTCAATCGAAGATTCGCCTTCCAACTACGTAATAATATTTGCTGTTTAGTTAATTTCAATGCAGGAAAAATACGATTTACGACAAGCTTAATCAGATTGTAAGAAAAAAAACCTTATAGATTCTTAATGATTGTTTGGCCTTACATTATTTTCCCTGCAAGGATTTCGTTTAATCTGATAGTATCTCTGATGGAATCTGATAGATGACGCTCCTTCCTAAAATATGATATAACACAATGTATGGTCGGCACATCTAATTTTCAGAGGTATTTTACATCGATTCAATCTGTATCATGTTTTGGTTTCTTTTACAAACCTCCCAACCAGACAGATGCATATATCGTGACGCGCATCTACACGGGTCATGAAGAACAAACCAACCGAAGAAATACATATCATAGAATGTATTGCCGAGATAATTGCCAAAGATAATATCAATCTTTTGAACACAAAAAAAGCAATTACAGAAAATGGCCCATATATCATTTTTAGGTATCGAGTGTACTTGTTGTAAAAGTTCAGTTTTGTTGCTACTTTTGTTTTGGTTCAATACAAAACTTACTTTGATCATTGAACTTGGTGATTCTCTTTATATGAAAAGGAATAGTTTAGAGTTATTGCTATTTTTGTTTGTTTCCCTCCCTTTATCAACGTCAGTAATGTCTGGTCCTCCTCAACGAACCATCCTTCCTGATTGTCTTTCAAACATGCTTATACTAACTGCTTTTAAACAAATGCAGACATTTATATATATGTGTACATCTCTATGTTGGTGAGTGCTGTGGGATTTCTTTTATATATTGTTTATTTGTTTCTGAGGTCGATCTTAATCTTTCTTTGTTGATTGAAATTTTTTCTGTAGAACTGAATTCGTGTCGAAGACTTATAGAATCTTTGTTGTTTTTTTTTTACAGTTTCTCTCGTGCCATTTACAGTAATAATCTAAGAGGACTGATCGATAGGTGACGTCCGTGCTTTTCACTACTTTAAAAAAGCGAAATAATATTAACTATAGGTAAGCAAAATTAGAACCCTTTTCCTTCGTATTCATTTTAATCATTTCAGAGGTTCGCTTCATGTATATTGTCCCCATGTGATTAAAAAATTCTTGCGAGATGCTTTTGTGAATTTAGAGTAACAGGTTACGAAGGACCTTATGAAAATATTTAATGCATGGAAATGAGATATGGGAAAAATCCCCATCCTTGAATGATTTGTAAAAACAAATTCTGACCAATTAAAAGTTTTACTTTATTACATCGCTAACAGAAATTTGTATTTATGTCTGAGAAAAATAGTCTTACGTTTTCTGGATTCTACGATAAAATATTTTCCATTATAAATATTGACTAGTTTTGTTTTCATTGTTGCTTTTATTACAGTATTCATGATTCTACATTCGACAAATGTATTGTGCATGAAAATGCTTTCACATCTTGACAATGCAATATAATCGTGAACTGGTAACATTTTATGAGCCACTGGTATGACTTTCAATATGCACAAAGACGCTTTTAAAAATCTGTTCAACTTGCCTTATTTATGCTGACATTGTATGTAAGTGATTATCGACAAAGACAGAAACATATAAATACACACACACACATACAATAATGCATGAGTAAGTCTATATGTGAGTGTATATTTAAAGCAATAAGAAATATTAGATTATAAATAACATCCATTATCTGCTGAGAAATTACTTTTTTTAAGTTTTAATACGAAAATAATGTTACCAGATATTGCGTCAGGTAGATGTAATTTTACTCTCTTTAAAAGACTCAAAGACGTGTATCCACTAAATATAACGTTTAAATTTATATACACACACACACACACACACACACACACATATATATATATATATATATATATATATACAAGGTAATGTATATACAACACACACACACACACACACACATATATATATATATATATATATATATATATATATATATATATATATATATATATATATATATATAGGTAATAATCCTTTGGTATATAATCCAAGTGAATCATAAATCTCATTGGATTTATTGAACAGACCATGTAAATTACATATAATAGAATTAAAATTATTTCATAGTTATGATTATTTCACCTTACAGATTGAGATTACCTGTAAGGATTTTCAAACCTATAGAGGTAAGAAGATAAAACTTAGTTTTATTTTATTACCTTGATCAGCTTGAAAATCCTTACAGGTAATCTCAATCTGTAAGGTGAAATGATCATAACTATCAGGTAATTTTAATTCCTGCTGTATGTAATATATATATATATATGTATATGTATGTGTGTGTGTGTGTGTGTAATTGGGCAGCAATCCTTTCTATACATTTCATTAAAGAAAACTGACAAAGTACTGAAATTAAGCTTTCTATTTCATTTTTCTTTTCTGCGCATAAACTGTGTAAAAATGTCTAAATGTTCTGCATATTCGAGCTTTAACCTTTTTTCTTTTAGCCATTATTGAGGGTGAATTTTATTTTGACAATTTATTGCTAATTTTCTTCAATATGGTTGAATACTTATCCAAACGTTATTATT